CGCTTTTAAGAGCAACTTAGTAAACCATTCATTATGCGAACGGGAAACCTAGTAAGATCAATATCTGATCGTTGAACAGTTCGCTTTTAAGAGCAACTTAGTAAACCATTCATTATGCGAACGGGAAACCTAGTAAGATCAATATCTGATCGTTGAACGGTTCGCTTTTTAAAAGCGACTTAGTAGACCATTCATTATGCGAACGGGATACTCATGAATAACTCAGTAGGATCAATATCTGGTCGTTGAACAGGACACTCTCTGAGAGCAACGTTATTACTAATTCTGATTATTTTTATTATATAATTTTATTAACGTCATGTTCAAGATTTAAAGTTAATCTATTATTTATTATTTATCGTTATTATTTATTATAGTCTGATCTTCTAAAAATGGCCTGGAATCAAATCGAAAAATACCATAACGTAAAAAATCGTATTGAAGAACTAAATAATGGTAACTTTTATTATTGTATTATACATATGTTTCAAATATATTAAAGATAAAGAAGAATACGAAGAGGATGATAGCAAAAACGAAGTCGAAATGAAAATACAGGTAATTAAATACTGTATATATATATATTTAGACGGTAAATACAACAAAGATGTTCCACTCAAATCGTTTATATTACTTGATATTCGCGAAACGACATCCATAAAGAAAAATTATCCGCATACAGTACATAATTATTCGACTCTTTTCATGGTGGATCAAGATAATATAAGCGTTATTAAGCTAAAAAGTGCTCCAAAGAAAATAATGAGTGATAATTTAAGCAATCAATCTGTTAGCGAAAAATTAGAGGATTTAATACAAGTATTTGAGTACTAAGAAGGAGAATTTAAATCGAAAGAACAATATGAAGAGGCAGAACGCACCAAAAACACGTTATAATGCAAGAAAGAAATAGGAGAGGGACTGGAATGGACGCCAATTCATTTATGGAGACATTAGAATAAATATCAGACACAGATGTAGCAAATCAAAAATCTTACCGTTACTAACGCCAGTTTGTGATAGTTCAGTAATATGTTTTTTCTTTCTTGTTTTTGACTTCGCATTAAGCGATATTTTTTTATTCAAATCACAAGTTAATGCTAGCCTAGTCTTTGTTTTTAGTTTTAGTAGTATTATAGTAAAATGTTACACAGACGTATGTTGCTCAACTTGAAGACATTCAAAAAATAACTTGCATTATTAATAAATGTATCGAATTATTAATAAATGTGTCGAATTTTAAATAAATTTGACCGTTTATTAACTAAAATCTTTTCTCAAGTATCGGGTATGCCCACCTTCCGCATCAATACAAGCTTGAACAAACTACTTCCTCAGGAAATCCTCCCACTCCTTCAACCAACGCAACAAAAACCTCTCATGAGACACTTTTTGTGCCATTACTTTTTTTCTACATTTCGTTTAAGAAAAGCCCAAACATTTTCAATCAGGACTATACGACGACCAAGGAAGAACGCGTTTCGGGAGACAGGCTTTGCGATCATTCTGGACATACTTTGAGGTGTGTTTCGGGTCGCTGTCCTGCTGAAAATCCAGTGCCAACGACTATAAATGCTAGTTAAAGATTAATGTCAAGTATTTCGCGGCGCAGGTGCCGATCCATATTTTGTGTAAATGTGCACATCCCCGACTTTGCCACGTGCACAAATCGCTCCGCACATGTGAAGCTTAAACGGATGCTTCACCATTGGTGCAACAGTTTTACCGGAACGCGACCACGTCAAACATAATTGCAAGGTGATTGTTCGCCATTGAAGTTGGTTCTCTATAGCTTGTCGGACGCGTTCTTGGCAAAGCAGCAACATAACCGAGCCTAAAAAGCTCGTCACGAACAGTTTGAACTCCTATTTGAAATCCTGTGAGCGTTTCTTCAAGTCGTACCTTCATTTTCAGCTGCTATGAAAATGATTTTCATTTATGAGTTTGCAGATTAGACATTGCAGACTTTTCGCGGACGACCAGGAGAACAATTAATTTGGTTTTTTTTTTCGAAAAGCAGCAAAGTTGGACGCCAGGTTTTCGTGAAATTTCAGCAGCGTTGTGGCAGCCATGCCAGAATTTCTTTACAGTTCGCGGTTGGATTGTCGAACATTTAAAGAGATATTACAAATGATAGGGGAGTGACAAATATTAGCTAATATCCATTTTATTATAGGGGATTTCATTTAACATATGCACGTGAGATTCATTTTATCAGCATTTATAAATAATTAATATAATCATTGATTATTATAATTAATATAATAATCATAATTTATATAAATACTGAAAATAACAGAATTCATACATATCAAATAAATTTACAATTCTAGAAATAATTTTTTTGTTTGCTTTAATAAACTCTTCGTTATTATCAAATCATCAATTATCTCTTCTACATTACTTAAATTATCTTCATTTACTTCTTTATTATTCTCATCAATGAATTTATTTTTATCAATGAATTTATTTTATCTAAATCTTTTGTCAAATCTGTCATCAATACATCAATATTCTTTTTAATTTCATTCTAAAGATAATCAAAATATATAAAGCATTTAAATTAACTTTTTTATAGACAAAGACTATGATAACTATGATTACATGCCAGAATTTTGCCATCAAGTAAATTACTATCACAATATATATTATTATATAGAATGATTATACTGGATTTTCTGAAAGTAATAAAGTCTTTCAAAAGATAATGATCAGTTATCTCATAACCTAATAATAAAAGTTTATATTTATTAATACTACCAATGAAAATTCAATAATTAAAAAATATTGATTACTCGCTTGATATATCTTTATGAATGCATTTAAAAACAATATGATACTTTTTAGAAAGCATATACAATTACTTCAGTATATACAATATTACAAATCAAATATATCATTATTATTATTAGTATTATTATTATTTATCATTATTATTATTATTTATTATTATTATTATTATTATTATTATTATTATTATTATCATTATTTTTATTATTTTTTTAGTGTAATCTTATTTTATGTATATTATTATCTAAATTATAGTTAATTGTAAGATATGTGATACTACATGAATTACTTATATTACATTTAAAATATAAGGTACAACTAGTCATTTTGGACCTGTCTAAGAATTACAAGTGAATAATAGGATCTGTTAAAAATTTAGTGTATGATTGCAATTTTATGATATTGTTACCATTTTATTATAACTTTAGATTTTGTCACGAGAGTACACGTGATAGAGTCAGATGGGAGAGTTAATGTATTAATTAACTTTAAGTTGGAAGAGTTCACTAAGTTATTTAAAGGTAGATAACGTATGTTCATTTTGTTGATCAACTAAAATGAGATCAGAAAGATTCAAAGATAATTGTGTCTTTTATAATTCAATTTATAATAAGTTAAATATTTGATTTATAAACAAGTAAGATGTAATTTTCTTTTATTAATTCAATACTATTATTAACTTCGCAATATAGATGAGAGGTCAAATACAAGAATGTATAAGATAATATAATTTCGCAATAGTGACGAGAGATTATAAAACAAATATGACAATAACTTCACAATTAAGACGAGAGATTATGAAAATACTATCTAAAGAATTATTAAAAGAATAAAAACTAAACTTGAATTGAATTAATTATTTTTTAAGCTAAGATACAAGCTGTATTTATAAGTATTTAATAATTATAAAATAATTATTTGCAATAATTATTTGGAATATTTGAAATAATCGTTTGGAATGATCATTTGCAATAATCATTTATAATGATTATTTAAAGTGCTTGAGATGATCAGTTGGAATAATTATTTGAAATGATCATTTGAAGTGATCATGTAAAATAATCATGTGAAATGATTATGTGAAGTAATCATGTGAGATAATCATTTGTGATTATAAAAATATCTAATCACAACAATATGTAATATAATGGTATTTCCAGCTTTTTTAATTCTAAAAGATAAGAGACAGAGATTGTTGATGTAATCTTTTACAAGATATTCACATTCACATAAATGTAAATGAGATTATAATCAAATTTTGGTTTTAGTAGAGAAAAATCAAGGAATCTTTCTTATTTTGTTTGTAATATTTGTTTTTTTAATTTTGATGTGATATGGATGATTTTTTCATAAGTGTTAAGTATTTTATATCAAGGAATCCAAATTTCTTTTCTTGTTTTGCTAGAGAACCAAATGATGAACTTGGATGCTACTGATCTGACTTGATTAATATTGCTACCATTTCTAGTTCTTACGTATGAGAATATTTAGAAATGGTTAACAGCGACTGTGTTCACGGCAGATT